AGGTGAACTTAGCCCTACTAGGATGAGCATTCAATTAGCTGATCGTTCTATTGTGCATCCTAGGGGAATCATAGAGGATCTGCTTGTTCATGTTGGTGCATTCACATATCCTGTTGATTTTGTTATTCTGGATGTAAATGAGGATGTGGATGTGCCTTTGATTCTAGGTAGGCCATTTCTTGCCACCGCCAAGGCACTTATTGATGTGCATGATGGTAAACTGATACTGCGTGCTGGGGATGAACAGGCTACTTTTTCTGTGACTGAGTTTGATCACTGTGCTATGATTGATGTCACGCCTGTGCATGCTATGTCTGATCAGGTACACGAGCCTGTCGTGTATTCTTCTGCACCTCCTATTTTGCAGGACCCTCCTATCATTCCTTCGCCACCACTCCATCCAGCCATGCCTCCGAACAAAAAGCTCAAGGAGGAGTGGCGGCCGAAGCAGCAGGTTGCTAAGCCTGCACGGAAGAAGAGTGGAGACCACTATGAGCTGGTCCCACCTCCTGCACCACGACCACCCTGGCCGTCTGGGTACTCGCTCGCCTGCATCTTGCCAGATGGGCAGGTCGAGCTAACTGATGATGGTGGTCGCATCCGTCGGGTGCAAGGCCACAACCTCAAGCTGTACCTCAAGAGCGACGTGGATTCGCTCTTGGAGGCACCTGTTTCTGCACCGCCCTGAGTATCCACCATGGGCGTCCAGCTAATACGACGGTAAAGAAGCGCTTGTGGGGAGGCAACCCCACCATGGTTTGATTTTCTTTCTTGTGTTTTGAGTCGGATTGTAACCCGTTTTGGGTTTGGTTTGTTTTCTTTTGGTTTGGATGATATTTTATTGGGCTGACCATTGAACCTAACATATTGTGTTTGAGCTCTTCTGTTTCCCTTTGGCTGTGCTTGCCCCGACTGGCCCGTTTCCAGTCCCCTGCAGTCCGTGCATACCGGTAACATCGTTCCCTTATCCTTCCCTCTTCTCCATTGAGGGCAATGTTGAGCTTAAGTGTGGGGGGATGTTTATCTTTAACTGCATTAGATCTGTTTGTGTGCTTGGAGCCTAGTCCACTGTCCAAATTTTTAAATTTGAGGGCTCCAAGTACGTGTTTCCTTGCAATTGCCTGCTCAGTATGCTTTGAATTGACAGTCTTTATAGTAATATGCAACCTAGGGAGGTAGTGTAGCACTATGGAGGATGTTGATGCATTTGAGAAATCTCATTTCTTCTTCATATTGTGTTGGTTGATTGAGTGAATTAGTGATCTTAGGACCCTTGAATTGTGTGGTGTTGTGGATTCTCTGCCTGTCATGGACTCTTGTATCATGTTTTGAAAATAACAGGTGCTCAAAAATGTGCTTTAAAATAACGTCTCCCGTGCGAATAGGGCGAAAGTGTGTAAGGGGAGACGGGAATTCGTTCCCAATTTCCACCTACTACCTCCAGCCCCCTTACATGTCTTTCCCCCGCACGAGGCTCGAGACATCCGCTCCTGGCATGGCCGGTAAGAGCAGGTTGGGACCCTTGAAAAGAAAAGAACAATAACAGAAAAAAAAAGGGGTTCCAACCATCTTCAAAGAAAATAGAGCACCTTGAAAAATGTGAGTCCATGATCTTTTTTTTTAGAGAATCTCTTCATCCACGATTCATTTGTCCTCTGTTCACTGTTTGCCATGATGCCGACTCGCCGAAGAAGCTATGAGATGACTTGTGCGTCGGTTGACCTCGTAAGTTGCTAAATGATCTAGGAAGTCCTCTACCTACGATCTGGGTTGTTTGTTGCTATAGAGGTCTGGAGAGTTGCATTGGTTTGAGTTAGGTTTGCTTGGGTACAAACAAACGGTTAAGTGTGGGGGAGTTTGATAACGATGTAATTGCACATATTTGCGCCACTAGTTCTTATCCGTTTGAGGGGCATAGTCGTGTGTTTTGGCCTATTTTACGCCGGGTTGTGCTATTTTGTCATGTTTCAGGTCCCAGGCGTTAAAGGGAAGGCTAACCGCGAGTTTCGGGGCATTCGGAAGTCATTTCGGTGAGCTGGAGCCAAAACACGGGCAGACCCAAGGCATTACACGGCCGTGTACTGCTGGCCGTGCTTTTTATGCCGAGAGCAAATTCAGTTTGGCCAATTCAGCTGCAAACACGGGCACCGAAGCACGGCCGTGTTCCACCAAAGCACGGCCGTGTCCAACGCGAAGCACGGCCGTGTTTAACCCACTTGCTGGCCGTGTAATTAAGCCCTGGCCGAGACACGGGCAGAGTCAGGCAAAGCACGGCCGTGCCCTCGACCGTGCTTTGGCCACTGATGCTTTTAAGCAGATTTTCAGCCACAATTCCGGGGGATTCGAGTTTTTTAGAGAAAGAACGACTTCTAGAGAGAGAAAGAGACGAGCAAGAGTTCCCAAGTGCCCTAGATTGATCTTCAACACCATTGGAGGCCAGCTTGAGCTTGGAGAAGTGCCAATCAACGTCCAGAAGCAGGAATCCATCCTTCGCAGTATGAATTCCGTGTCTGATTCTGCTTTTGCTTTCTTCTCTATGTAGTAGTTCTCCCATTCATCTGGGTATGGAGAACCCTAGATTTGTATGTTAGGCTTTGATTGTATGAACCCAAGTACTGATTCTGTGATTGATTATATTCGATTGAGGTTTTAATGATTGAATGACTTGAATCCTGATCAAATTCCTATTGTTTCTGCTTTAACCTAGAATGAGAATATCTGTCTAGATTAATAGAGTATCCTTGATTGAAGGTAGGGAGTTGGTGACTTTAGTCGAGGAACCAACTCACTATTCTGTACCGGATTTACTCCGGTAGTGGAGGTTTTGTTCTTAAGGCCTCAATCTGTCTACTCCGGTGGAGGTTAGTCGCCCGCTAGAGATTCAGATTGAGAGGGTCTGAAGACCTTTTGTCGAGACTTTAGGCTGTTTAAGAACCTTCCGCAGTATAACTTTCATTAAAACTGAACTTGGTAATTACAATCCGGCTTAACTGCAGTCTAGGGGGAACCATATCCGGGTGACCTCTCTTAACTTGAATACAACCGTTTGTTTGCTTTGTTAGTTTGTTAGTTTAGACTTGCATTCCAGTTTCATTGCTAGATAACAAGAATTCACTGAGTAGTCATCACATCTAGGACCCGGGTTGATAATTAAACCTAAACCCGCTATACTACGCTTTAGGAAGTGGTTACACTTGGCCAATTCCTGGAGTGACAGTAGAGTCGAGTCAATTATGGTCGCATGATAGAAGATAGACGCTACAAAGAGCTCTTGTCAGAGTTCAAAATGAGGAACACCAACCCAAGATTGAGAGCAGATGTTGAGGTGTTAAGATAGGCATCAGAGACTTATACTCCTAAAGTGTTTGAAATGTTCCAAGAAGAATACCTCAAACTTTGGGATTGTAATATTGATAAGATTAGCAAAAACAGAAGTTGAAGTTGTGTACAAAGTGATATATGTTGGTAGAGGTACAGATCACCAGGTCTGATTTGATCTTTCTTCTCAAGGTATTGAATGCAGTTGCAGAAAGTTTGACTTTGTGGGAATATTATGTGCTCATGCTTTGAAAGTTCTTGACAAGAAAAATATAAAGCACATTCCGAAGCAGTACATATTGAAGAGATGGACAAAGGATGCCAAAGATGAAAAAAATAAGAAATTCAACTCAAATCCAGGGAGGGTCTAAGGAACTCATTGGGAAACGTTACTTGGATCTTAGTTACAATTTTCGAGAGATATCCACTCTAGCAGCCGAGAAAGACACTATGTATGAGCATACATGTGGAGTTCTTTAAAAGTTGTTGAAGGATCTACATGAGATGAAAAAATGCTCACAAGGTGGAGTGTCTGATGAGGGATTATGCTCAAAAGGCGAACAAGATTGTCTTGTTGTAGTTGGAGTCAAGATCAAAGCTATAGTTGCACAACCAAAAGGCAGATTGAAAAGGTGCATTGAAGCGACGTAAAAATCATAAAAGTCAAACAAAGCCACATGTTTTTTTTTCCTTTCTTTTTTGTTGCTTTAAAAGAATACTGTAATGTATTATAATTACTATATTTCAAATAACATTATATGTAGGGTAAAAATGTGAAAACTAGTTCTTCTCAACAAGTTAAAAATAGTCCTGAAGTTCAAGGTAAAAAAACTAAGGTAAATTGTTTTAGCTTGTCCTCTTTTATATAGAAGAAAATTGTAGTATTTTTTTGCTTCTTAAGTGATTCTTGTATTATATAAGGTAAGAAGAAAGTTGGTTATTCTCGACAAGTTGAGAGTTATCCTGTGGTGCATATCCAAAATGATCAGTTTTGTTTGCTTCAACTTATTTTACATATAAAAAAATACATAGGACATTTGTTTTCTTTTATGAAGTGGTATATATATATATATATATATATATATAGTTTTTAAACTTTTAGGCGGTCATTGCACAATATAAATCTCAGAATTCGATTACTATACCAACAAATATTATCCATAAAAAGCACATTAACTCGACAATATCTTTCAATCATATGTTATACACTCAATTGTTATAGGTATGCAAAATAATAATAATTTTATTTATATTTTATCGTTTTTCTTATTACTATTTTAACTTGATGTCTATTTTTGATTTTGCAGGATGCAATAGCAAATTCATATTCCGATGATCCAAAATTGTGATAATAGCATCGACCGATTCATGAATTAGGACCTGAATTATCTCATAGAATAACAGACAGGTCCCTTGATTTCAATTACAAAATAAACAAGCATTATTTTTTTGTCTTCATTATGCTGCCGCAGCTTCTTATTTAATTATCAACAAGTATCTCCGTCATTCTTACCGTTTCTGTCATGTTATATATAGTACTTAATTTTTTATTTATTCCATTCATAAAAGCATTTAAAATAAAGGGAAAGTAAAATAAAATAACCAATAGTGATATGTCAAGTAGTAGGTTGGAGCTAAAAATTATGGGTCACGAACTTGTTAATAAGTAGGTGAGTCAATTCGAGAAGAAAATTCACCCAACCAGCCAATTGCCGCCCCTCGTACTCACGAGTCACGTCCTGCGCTCATCAGTGTCAGTGACACCGACTGACGCTTCGCTTACTCTTTGTCGGAGCTGCTGTAGTTACTCGCTCTCGCTTCGACGGAGGGCGAACGGAGGGAGGCAAGAAGAAAGTCATGGGGGAGGTGGAGAAAGGCAATACAAGCAAGACGAGCAGCCGTCAACGTCGAGTTGGGCTTCTGTACGACGAGCGTATGTGTAAACATTCTACTCCGGACGGCGAGCACCATCCTGAAAATCCTGATCGAATTAGGGCTATTTGGAGCAAGCTTCAAGCCAACGATATCCCGAGCAGGTAGTCGTCTCGTCTCGTTTCTGGAACCCTTTGTTTTTCATCTTTTGGGTTTCTACTTACTGAGCTGCCAAACTGCTGAATTCTGGTAACGTCAAGAATCTTCTTCACGGAGGCCAGGAAACACTTCTTTTAGTCCTTTTGCCTTTTTGAGCTGCGTCACCTTTTCAATTTTGTTGTTGCTGTTATTTTTATCGGGCGAATTAGTGCTTTAGGTTTCTGATTGTGCTGCATTGTGGGGGTTGCAATCCTTTTTCAGATGTGTTCTTCTAGACGCCAAAAAAGCACAAGACAAACATCTACTGGCTGTTCACACTCAAAGACATGTCGATTTGATCAAAAATATAAGCTGCAACTCGAGGAGGAACAGGGTTTCCGCCAAACTGAATTCCATATACTTCAACGAGGGATCATCCGAAGCTGCTTACCTTGCTGCTGGGTCTGTTGTAGAGGTATTATTTGCTGCCTTCCCTGTTTGAATTCCTTTTTTATCTTGGGCTCTTACGGAGCTATTATTTGCTTCCATCGGATCATATGGTCAAGCATGGTTAACACTCTATGACAGCGACCTTTGGTTTTGTTAGGTTGCAGAAAAAGTTGCCAAAGGGGAGTTGGATTCTGCTGCTGCCATTGTTAGACCTCCTGGTCATCATGCTGAACTTGATGAAGCCATGGGGTTTTGTTTGTTCAATAATGTTGCTATTGCAGCCAGCTTTTTGTTAGATGGAAGTGTAAGGTTTAAATGTTGTTTTATTGTTGATATTCAGTTTGTGAGAGCCTAGATGTAACCTAAATTTTTTTCATTCCAACCCCTTTGTTTGTTAATTGAGATTTCAACTCATTGCCTACAATTTTCTCTTTTCTTACAGCTAGAATTGGGCATAAAAAAGATCTTGATTGTGGACTGGGATGTACATCATGGAAATGGTACCCAGAAGATGTTCTGGACTGATCCCCGGGTACTGTTTTTCTCAGTCCATAGGTAAAGTTAGTGATTTTCTCTGCTGATATAATTTTCTCCTTGTATACCACATGTAACACTTACTATCGTACAAAAAAGGAATGGAAAAGGCATCCAAACTACCTTGTAGAAATGATACTATTTGTTGTTTAACTATCATAATATGTTTTTATCTCTGCTTTTGTTTTCTGAGTCATCATGCTTCGAAGAACCTTTTTAGGCATCCTGACTTTGATTAATCACATAATATGCTTTAATCCCCCTCACAGAGCAAGGATGATATTTGATACTCTGGCTGCCTCTTGTTCTTCATGTGTTTACTGAAAAGTGGTTCTTTACATACACAGACTAGATGAGTAAAAAAAATTATGTTAACTACTCGTGAAGGGACATTTAATTTGTGCAGGCACGAGTTTGGTTCATTTTACCCATTCAGTGATGATGGCTGCTACACCAAGGTGGGTGAGGGTGTGGGTGCAGGATATAATATAAATGTCCCCTGGGAGAACGGACGATGTGGAGATGCGGACTATTTTGCTGTTTGGGATCATGTTTTGATCCCTGTTACGAAAGAATTTGATCCAGACATAATAATAGTGTCAGCAGGATTCGATGCAGGTTTGTTATAGTAATATTATAAACTTTCATAGTTCGGATTTCTGTTCTCATCCAATATGGGTCCATGATTGCGCCGAAATTATTTAAGTGACTACTCAATGCATGGCCATACATTTGTTTGAAAACTTTTTAATGATCTCAGAATATTGGCTTATCTAAAATAATTTGAACTTCGCAGTATCTTGACTCTTGGGAGGTAGGCAGATGTAGCTTTTTACATTTCTTGATGAGTTCCTTCTTCGCAGAGAACTTTTGGCATCGATATGTATGTTATAAATTTATGTCTGGCCTTTGTTATTTAGCTTCTTGATAAATTATCTTGTCATTGGTTTAGCATGTGACAAAGATCATAGATATATGATTTTTATTCGTCTTCTTTGGTAACATCATTAAGTATAACTGTCTATGCTTAGAAGCTTGATGCATTTCTATAATACTTTCTGATTGTTTTCAGCTGCTGGAGATCCGCTTGGTGGTTGCCGTGTCACACCATATGGATATTCAGTGATGTTGGAAAAGGTAACTGCATATCCTTCTTAATGACTTGCCCCTCATGTTTTATAGATGTAATCTTTGGGGAAGAGTGACAGTAGCATGATTTCCATGGTTTCATTCTTGAGGGATGCTTTTGTTGTTATTGATTTTGGTGCTTTCTTTTCAGCTGATGGATTTTGCTCATGGAAAAGTTGTGTTAGCCTTTGAAGGAGGATACAATCTTGATTCTATTGCAAATTCATTTCTTGCTTGCATGGAGATGTTACTTGAACGTAAGCATGCTGCAAGATCGTTGGAGGCCTATCCATTTGAGTCTACATGGCGTGTGATACAGGAGGTAACGTGGAATGTATTGTCATCTTGTATGCAATTTGTGTAGAAAGTGCTTATTGGGTTTGCTGAATGATGCATCATTGTCCAGGTTCGCAAAAAATTGAGTGCTTATTGGCCTGTTTTTGTCGATGAATTACCAACAAACTTAACAAATCAAAAGGCTCCACCTCCGGTAAGTCGTGATTTTCAAGCCATTCTCATTATCTCCTCTTTGCCCACTAAAGCATATACATTGCTTTTGGTATTCGAAATCTTTGCTTATATAACTGTTGTCACTATTGCGTTAATTAGTCGAGAATTTCATCTTTGGGTTCATTTGGTCTTTGGAATGTTGAAAATTTATTCGTCATTTTGTTTATAGTTGGCTGATTTTGAATACTCAATTAAAAGTTATGCTCTGAAGAGCAAAAGTAGTTTGTTTCCCTGCTTCAGAGGTAAAAATGCACTCAATATGAGGCGGAGCCAAAATGTGCAGTACCAGACCTTAATGTCAATTATGATTTCTCCGCCATTTGTTCAAATTCATTTGTGCTCCGGTGCTAGGTTTTACTTTCAAATTCCAACTCTAGTTTTCCACTATTTTTTGGTTTAAACTTTTCTTCATGAATGCCAAATCGTAACTATATGAATAAACTGGTTGTGCTCTTGTTCCTCCTTTGTACTGTACCAGCTTCGTTTAATCAATTTTGGTAGACTTGGCTTATTTCAGCATCTTCTAGTCTCAAGCTCAGATTCTGAAGGCGAGGATGGGAAACCATCCAACACTATATCTGACAATGTTGAGGCTGCTCTTGAGGAAGTTGTGGGACCACTTTCAAAGTTGACAGTTGAAGATCATAGTGGTATAGAGAGGACTCTGAAAGTCGAACCTTTCCATATCCCAAATTAACTTCATTCCCTGACTTTTGCTGTAAATTAATTCCGGTTTGACCTTCATATCTGCAGGTGGATCTGCATCTTTCACCTCCTGGAGGCCAGTGTTTTCCAGAACTGATATTTGGTATGCTACTTTTGGATCGAATATGTGGCAGCCTAGATTCCGCTGTTACATCGAAGGCGGTCAGGTAATAATATTTACCCATCTTTTTCGTTTTTCTTGAGCGAACAAAAGTTGTGCGTTCGAATGGAGGCAACAACTGAACCATTTTATGGAGTTGTCGATATTTCAGGTGGAAGGCATGCAGAAGGCGTGTACTGGTTCGGTGGACAAAAACCCATCCAAGGGAATCATGTGGAAAACTTTCCCCCACAGGTTATTCTTTGGTCACGAGTCTACTGATACATGGGGTCCGGGAGGGGTTGCTTTCCTCCATCCAGAGAGCAGCAGTCATGAAAAAGCACATATGTGCCTCTATAGGATCACGTGAGTAATGGAAGTTGCCCACTTATAACTCTGTTCAGGGTTACTTGGTAAAACCAAAAAGCTGCCAGTATTCACTATCAGTTACATAGTTCTCCTGAAGCTTGGCTCCATCTTGTCTCCTGCAGGCTGGAGCAATTTAACGATGTCTTACTTCAGGAGAACGTCTCCTGCCATGATATGAGCTCTCCTGTATTCGATTTGACCGATTTGAATTCTGCCGTTAACCAAGGATCTGTTTCTCTGGAGGTTTTTAAGGTGTTTCTGATACATATCCCTTTTTCCATTTTCCATTTTCCGAGATTTTGTTGGCGATCTGTTCCTCAAATCTCCCGCCTGTTATGTGATGCAGAGTGGTTGGTACCGTAATGTGGTTTACATGGGAAAGGAGCAGGATCTTCCCATTCTCACCATGACGTATGTGCTCCTCCATTCTTACTACTTAAAATTGTGTAGGTCGGTTGCATTGTCATTACCATTTGGATGGTTGATTGATTATATTCTTCAGGTGCTCGCTGTCTGATGCTGAGAAGTTTAGGTGTGGGGAATTCTCATTGAGAGCTCCATGCAAAGAGTATGCCAACACCTTAGTGAGGGGGCTCGTTGAAGGAGGACAGTTGTCAGAAGAGGAAGCCATTGCTTACATTAAACAAGCTTCCTCTGGCGAGCCACTTTGATCCCAAACAGCATTTATTATTATGTGTTAGCTCAGCTTATCTACTTCCCCGGTTCCGCATGTGTTCGTATGAAGAGCTGATTGGTCCGGGAAAGCTCTTCCATTTATTATTACTAGATGTGTTATGAGCCGCGCTCCGCAGCGGCATGGGACAGTTCTTGTATGTTGCTTTTGAAAGCCTGTCATTTGTCAAAGTCTTTTAATTGATCGTCTTTATTTTACCGATGAGCTAAATAAAGGATGCTAGTACAAAAGCCAACTTTTTAGGATTTTGCACCTATAGGTCTCTCTCAGGGGCGGACCCGGGACACCCTAACTTTTGAGAAAACGATTATCCAATCCCCGGTGGTAATTTATGTATGGACAAAAAAAAAATATAATTGATAGTGAGGGACACCCCTTAAATTTGAAAAAATGATTATCCTACTGTCATTTGTGTATAGGAATATAAGTGGTAAGTTGGATAATTCAAAGCTAAAATAATATTATTATAATAAACTTAATTTTCTTTGAGATAAACTTATTTGTTGTTCGATTTTAACAATGTGTAATAGTAAAATGGCATTCCCTATCTCATTATTTTAAAAACCTAACAATTAAACTAATTTCAAACTACCCTTAATTTGTTTTAATTTTATGATTGTAGGGCAAGTGTTGAAAGAGTCTTTCAGCTTTGGGTTATATCAAGAACAAGTCGTGAATGATTGTCTAGTAGTGTATATAATGATTGTCTAGTAGTGTATATAGAGACAATTTTTTTAACACTATAAACACCAAGTGTATTCTACAATTATTTTCGAATATAAAAATACATCATGGACTTTTTTAACCTGTACGAGTAAGGTATTTTCATATTTACAATTTTATTTTTATTAATTATTTTTATTAAATTTATTTTTTAAAAGAGGACATTCCTATGAAAAATTTATGGGTCCGCCACTGGTCTCTCTATTAGGCAAACAACAATTAGTAACCATATGTTAACAAAGAACGGTAATGAAACAAAACAAAAAATTTGATAAATGTGTGTTGTCTGGTTCATTAGTAATCAGTAAACTAAAATGAGGGGCACACAATTGATCAACCAAGAATGGAAAGAAACATAGGGAAGATGTAGCGGAATGAAGAAGCAGGGGAAAATCGGGAAGAAGCCCTAGTGGCAGAGCATCATGATCACATAATTCTTATCTCAAATTTCACAAAAGAAAAAACTCGACGACAGACAGAACTTTGAGCCGTTGCTTCATATTTGATCACCACCGCAACACCATAGTTCACCCCCCGTAGTTTTTCTACCTAAAGTTGGGGTCATCTCCATCGCAGCTCTAGCCAACGTGGTCTGCACTGATGAGATTGAAGAAAAAGGAAAAATGACTATGAATAAGGAGAAGAATCAAGAAGAGAGCCAATGAAAATCGAGAAAATGCATGGGAAGAGTTAATGTATATGAATAGAAACCAACTTTCGTTCGGTTTCTTTTCTATAATTATTATTAGGGTTTTCTAGTTCTTTGCCTATGTATGTAGGTTGTTGCTCATCTATTCAATTAAGCAGTAAAAAATAAGAAATATTATCTCCCCAAATCCCTAAATCCCTCCTCTCTTCCTAATCGGCTACCGGCCATTCTTTCTTCCTCTTCGTCACGTTCTTCCCCAAATCCCTATTCTAATACCCAATTCCTCTATCTAAATCCCTAAATTCCTATCAATTCTCAATCTCCCCAATCCAATCAATAGAACCCTAAAAATAGGTTTTTATCATCTGGTATCAGAGCCTCTTGCTCACCTTTCCGCTACATCTCAATCCATTACGAAGTTGCTGTCCACAAAAATAAAGGAATTGACTTCCTTTTGTCGCACACCATCAAGGAATTGCTTCCTCCTAGGGATGGCAACCAAACCCGAACCCACGGGTACCCACCCGACCCAACCCGATCAACGCGGGTAAAATTCATGTTGACGGGTTTTGGGCCGGGTTCGGGTTTAAACCTGCTACACTATTCACGGGATCGGGTTAGGTTTGGGTTTAGATAAACCCGCCCCATGGGTACCCGCCCATACACATATAATTACTTTCCCGATATATTTAATATTCTAAATAATATATCTTCCTTAAACAACTAATATTCTTTATGTTTGTGGAAACATGTATAATTTGTTCTTTCTAATTGTTTAGAATGAAGTTGATATGATGAAGTGGAGAGTGAAGAAACTTAGTTGATGAGGAAGAAGCTTTCAATTAATCTTATTGTTTATAGATGTTTATCTTTAATTTTGAATAATTTGTATTGATCATTTGCGGTTTGCTTGTATGCTCTAGATTGGTGTTTTTGTATGATTAATTTGTATGAGAAAATTGATGATAAACTTTTATTTTGAAAAAAACTTGTTATTGTAAATTTTTTACCACAAAAACCCACGGGTATCCATGAACCCATGGATACCCAGCGGGTTGGGTTGGGTTTGAGTTTTTCAAACCCAACGGGTTTTACCCCGGATTTTTTTGACGGATAAACCCATGGGTTTGGGTTTGGGTTTGACAAAACCCGCCCCAACCCGACCCATTGCCATCCCTACTTCCTCCGCCAACCTCAATTGCTCCATTCCCTCCGCAACAACCACAAAGCTCCCGCAGCAAAAATCCACAATGAGCGCGCAGTGCCACACCCACAGTCGCAAGCTTCCACACCTCCACCTGCAACGCAATCCCACAGGATGACACCAAAGGTGGCCGAGGGCATCGATATGGTGACACTAGTTTCCGCGATCAAGACCGCCGTGGTGGACGAACTCAAGACTGCTATGATTGTCGAGATCAAGGTCGTCGTGGGTTCAGAGATCAAATCCATGCTTGCAAAAATCCTGACCAACAACCATCAACAAAAGGAGGAGGTGGCCGTGATACGCCAACGACTCGATCATTTGGAGGGACGGGTCAAGCAAATGGAGCAAAGATTGCCAAAAATTCCTGTTGCAGCACCAACTCACCTGGCAGAGACGGTGAAGACAATGGAGACGCTGGTACAGCTTGCTGCCCGCACTGCTCTTCATGATGATGGCAGCAGCAACCCCCTTTTCCATGGTGAACAGCGGCACCAAAACTTACCAAGCAAGCCACCCCAAGTGGCACCCATTCGGTCGGGCTTGGGTAATGGTCTCTCCGAGTCTTCCAATTCTCCGACCAACCAAGCAACAAGTTATGGGTCCATCCATTGGTCCGAAACAGTCCCGTTTGTCCGACCAAACTCTAGCCGACTGTGGTTCGACCAAATTAATCAACGGGAGTCGCATCACGATTCAACAAGGCGAACACAACAAGCTAATTATCATGTCTACCATGGCCGCACGACGGCGTTGTTAAAGGTAGGACAGGTGTATAGCGTGAAATAGAGCTAGAATGATTCATATGAAGATGAACGGGAGTTTGATGAGGACGGGTACTGGCCTCCGCCAAGGCACTCCGACGGTCGCCACCCTCCGCCAATCAAGACAGCTTCACGACGATTCAGCCGCGATGACGGGACCGGGTTCATCGGCTGCTCGAGTTATAGAGACAAAGATGGGCCTGACTGTCATACTCCTTTGGGATCCATATATCGATCGGATTAGTAGCATTATTTTATTTGGTCAACCTTGAGGGCAAGGTTGGTCTCAAGGGGGAGGGATGATAGATACCAACTTTCGTTCGGTTTCTATAATTATTATTATATTAGGATAATTATTCTTTTAGTCGTATTAGGTGAATTGTTAGGGTTTTCTAGTTCTTTTCCTATATATGTACGTTGTTGCTCGTCTATTGAATTAAGTAGAAAATAATAAGAAAGATTATCTCCCCAAATCCCTAAACCCCTCCTCTCTTCCTAATCGACTGTCGGCCATTCTTTCTTCCTCTTCCTCTCGCGTTCTTCCCCAAATCCCTATTCTAATACCCAATTCTATCAAAATTCCTAAATTCCTATCAATTCTCTATCTCCCCAATACAATCGATAGAACTCCAGAAATAAGTTTCTATCAAAACACCTGAAATGTGGCCAATCAGTGATGAGGTCGGTTGTCGTTGTTGATATTAATTATAAATAATAACCTTTGTTTTCAGAACAGGATTGGAGGCTGAACCGGAAAAGTTAGTGGTTTAGGGTTTAGTAGTTAACCGTTACAAAACTGTTGGTGAACCGTTGATAGAACCGTTCATGATATATAACGTATAAGACTTGTATATTACACTAATTTAAGAATGAAGTTATCATTGACCATAAACAATTTCAAATTCATATTATCACCAAAATATATAAGAAATCATTCAAACCGTCTCACAAAAGAAATAATAATTTTTTAATTCATATTAAATTACGGTGCCAGTTGGTAGTAGACAACGTAAATCGACAACCAGGTTGGAAAATGAGAATAGGAAGTAGATATAAAATTAATAATTAAGGTTTGATGGTCTTAGTTTACGTCTTTTTTTTTAATATTGTTTTGTTACTAGTGAACCTATAACACCCTAACCCGGCCGGGTACTACTATTACCAAAATGCCCTTGATAAACCATTAACCAAAATAAGAACCAAACAGACTGGGAAAATTAGCGGGAAACTTTATTTAAATATTCATAATAAATACGTTGAAATTCAAATAACAATTTCTTGAAATTTGCATAAGAGAAAATCATAAACATCTTTAATAAATGGGCATCAAGTCTCGAGCCCTATTAATACACGAGATTGGAAACTTCATACTGGACGCAAATAATTAACATAATATAAAGCATATAAGGAATGACTAAACATAGAACAAGGAATGAAATGCATAACATGAACTTAAATGCATAGAACGATAACGAAAACTACTCTAGTCCTCTTTAACCACGCACCTGATCAAATTGGCTTAACCGCCACATCACCGGTGTCTGGTTCACGATCTGTCGTCGATGATAGCAACTCCCTCTTGGCGAGTTTCTTGCTCGGCTCCAGCAACTCCTCTAGGGATACGAATTCTCGCTCACTTACGGGGTGAGACTTTGGGAAGGACACACTCGTTCTCCCCCTTCCTCCTCCTCGGCAGCAAACTCCAGGGATCATGATTGTCGGAGGTCCGTCGCCACCATTGATTTCAATTTCAAGTCGTGGGCCACACATCGAACGCCAACGTCGTGTCACCCAAACTCTCGGATGTTTAGTCAGATAGGTGCGGGGTCTCACCGTCAGCTGCGCATCGTCCTCCACCCCACTGACGTCGGAGTCGACGCCGACTCTCGCCCTGGTCACCTTCGTCAAGTTCTCGGGTTCTCTCTCGCCTCCATGGGTCCCCTTTCTCCCTCGTTTCCCTTTTGCTTGTGCTGGTTCCATGGTGGTCTTGCTTGACTTGCCGGACTCGCCACCCGAACCGGTTCTCGACCCTTGCTTGAACGTCGTTCAACCCCCCGCTACGTCGACATCGAAGCACTAGAGTTCAAGGAGAAGGACGGAATTCTAGGGTGTTGGTTGGGTCGATCGGTGAGAGGGTAAGTTTGGCGGATGACGTCTACGTTCCTTTCGTCGCTGTTGTTTACACTCCTGGGACGCGATCAGACAAGCTGGGAACAGCGGAACGACAACGCGGTTGCGGCGCGGGAAGTTGTTGGCGTGCGACGGTGCGAGACAAACATCAAAGTTGGCTCTTGCCTCTGTTCGAGGCTATCCTGGTCGTCGCTGCTGGTTCAGGTCGCGGAAGGTGGCAGGGGATGGAGTACTCTTTCTTGCCTCCGCTCCCGCCGGTTGCGGCTGCTATTTTCTTTTGGGGTTTTAGCTTTAGGTTTATATATGGATGGGAGAGGGATGTTGCGACTGCTCTTTCTTCCTTCTTTAATTTTAGTTAAATATATAGATTAGAAAAGGAACCGAGAGAGAAGAATTGAGTAGGGTTAGGGTAAATGAATTGGGAGGGCAATTTGGAGATATTTGGCTTAATTAGGTGCCGGGTGTTACAAAACTAGTGAACCAGTTAAACCGTAGTGGTTCATCTGGTTTTATGTTGATTAGTGAAAACTCGTTTGGTCTATCAATAACCGTCCAAGCAATGAACTGGACCGACCGTTGATCCGGTTCAGTTCTTATAACAAGTTAATAACGAAAAGAGGAAGCAATGTATGCCCGTGTATACCCAAAAAAATATATATATATAGGTTGTAGATATGATAATTCAAAAGAAATTTTTTGAATAATTGAATACTAATTAGGTACTAGTTGTTATTCGACCCGTTGGTCGGACGAATTTTATAATTAGCTCATAATAATCATTTCATTAAAATTTTCAAATAATTTGAAACATTCGCAATATTTTATTAAAGAATCAATAGTAATCTTGCCACTACTTATAATTGTGACATTGCTAATTTTTGAATGAGATATAGCAATGAAGATATAGCAAACCTGTTGATCATAGTGCACTTTCACTAAGAAACCTATAGCAATTGACTTAATAAAAACTGGAGAACTCCACCAAGTTATCTAAGAACAGTTTGATTATTCCCCTTGTTTCACTTTACCGTGCTCCTATTTGGTTCAACACTCTAATGGTGAGAGACTTCACTGCTTCTTTCATCTATTTCGCTACACCAAGAGAAGCAATTAAGCAAAGTTAAGGGCAATGACAAACAAAACAGGAGAAATTATTCTAATTCAGCTGTCCTAACACTTAAACTATATCCCATCAGAATATGTTGTTAAGGCAACTCTGATTGAGATTCTAGAGACAAAATATGGCAGCTAAAATCTCAAAGACAACATATTAGTAGCCTGAATTTCAGTAGGTAAACCTTATTATGTTGTGGTCTGAGTAAAACATAAATTATTTCTGCCTTTATTCACAGAATTGGCACATACCAAAAAGAAAGATTTGTAGCATTCTGCTATGTAAAGTCATGACTGCTAATTGAAATACCAAAAAGTATGATGAACTATATTTCCAGCCTATTCAGCTCCTACTCAGTTTCACATAATTATATAATGATACGAAATCTAAATCGACTATGTAAACAGTACAAAGAGTATTGGTTAATTAACACGGTTGGGGAACTCTCATAAACTAAAGTCCATATGTTAACACCTTTCACTCAACCCTTCAAAATTTCATGTCACAATTCACTACATGATCAGATCTTCATAGGTATAACAAAAACAAAGAATATATGCAATTTGAGTTTCACCCCAAGTCCAACACAAGAATTGCAGAATCCTCCAACCCAAACTCCTCAACTTTTTCATTTGGTCCTGATAGGTAGTCTAGGAAGAGCTCGAATGAGGCTGAAAGCATACCAATATATGACTATTTGTAGCTGAATCTCACTGTGAACATAAAAGTGAGCTCAGCAAGCCTGTGTGAAAACAAATTCAGTTTAGAAACCACTCACCAAAACACAAAAAGCACAAGCATGATATGATCCTAATTCAAGAATCCTCCCAAATCGGACCAAAAACCAGAGTTGCACACGTCGAACTTGTTAGGGGTTTTCTCCTTTCTTGAATAACACGAAATAAAGTTACTGGCGGAATCGATAAAACAAATCCGAACTCGTGAGAAGGGCCAGAAGGAATATGAAACCTTCCAAACAATCTCGAACCCGTACAAGAGGCCAACCGATATCGTCGATGCTCGCCACAACTAGACGCGTTCTCTAGTTGATAAGAGACCACTCAAACCTCGTGAATCCTCAAAGGAGCGAATAAGCAAAACGTTCACTTGAACTTGTAAACACTTGTATTTGATTGTTGAAACTTGAATATTGGGTACCAAATTCGTAGCTCTTACATCCTCTATTATAGAGGTCTCAAAAACATGTATCTAACCTAAAAGAAATAGGAAAACAAAACCCAAACTAACTGGGTAACTTAATACTACTTTAACAACAAGGAAAACTACTAATTAAATACATAAATAACCAAAACAAATAATTAAATCAATTAAACACAAATTGCACCGCTCCACTGCCAACTTTCCTTCTCCTTCACGGAATTGAGTTCCGTTCTGCCAATGGTCTCCGGCCCGCCAATTTACCTTAGCTAGCTAGTCTTCACGTTGACCTTCCCACAAACAGCTTTGTCTTGGCATTACTTGGTCTTCACATAAACAATAATAAGCAGCCAAATTAATAATGCAAAAGAACCCATATGCACACACGTCACCTTCCGATTGCACACACTTTGCACATTCAATTCCCCAATGCATGGTTATGTGTAGTTGGTAGCGGCTATAACTCCATTCATCCATCAAGAATGCTCCCAATTGATTTTTAAATCGACGAATTTGAATCTTCATTTTTGGACCACGAGAATTAAATATCGCACTAGTCGATATCGCATCATTCCCTCTCTCTTGAAGAAGATTCGACCTCGAATCTTTATAGAACTTTGATCTCCAATTAGCACCACTCTTCTTGGCCTTCAAATTAAATTGTCTTGGTAATGAGAATTGTATCAAAGCACACGTCTCAATTCCATATCAAATCTTCCAAGTTACAGTGAAGACCAGTAAATATTTTGCAACAACGCAAGAACAGCACAACAAATAGATATTAGTACAGGCATGTCAAGTACAAAAGGTTTCCCGCTTATAGTTGTCTTCCTTCATGAAGTCGAAAAGAGAACCGACTCCATGTAATCAAATCCGATATAGCTCTCTCGACTTCATCTGTTTGTCTTACAATCAAGATCATTACAAAAATAATTGGCAATCATGGATTAGGGTAAGAAGTAGACCGGGCCTTTTGAGGATACATAAAGAAAGAAAAATCACCACGCATCACTCCTTCCTCTCAAACCAAATAATGACCTGCTGGAAACTGCAATAGTTTGAACTCAAGAATGCCAATGCTTCTTCCTGTGTAAGCTTTGCATGTTCATACCGCTGGCTCTCGACACAATTAATTATAGTTAGGGAAGTTGTAGTATAGAGTGGCGGAGAGATCGGTAGATACCTGATTAAGCAGCAATAGTCGATCACAGTGCGCGGCAAATCAGTAATCTATATGCACATGGTAAGGCCATTAATATGGCTACTCGAATTCAAGATCTAATTTCCTCTTCAGGTGGGATCTGTCAACACTGCACAAAAATAGGAAAACTTCATATATATATTATCATCTGTTTTGAAGTTCTGGATAAAAAAATTCATTGGACAACAGAGGAGAACATTGCCTAGCACGCAGGAAGAAGAAAAGATAAGATCAGGTGCAAACATGGTCATTTAAGTTTAATGCTACTTCCCATATTCTATTAGCTACTTGGCATTCTCATAATAAACTACTACTAATACTCCACTGTTGAGTATAAGAACTTCATTGGTTACAACATTAAAAGTGTGCGACTAATTGTACATCGACCAGCACTAAAGTTGTTAAGAATTCACATCTCTTTTAGTTATTATTAGTGGATCCAAGCCAACCTTAATGTATTTCAAACACTTGGTAGCCTACATAGGCACTACTTGAACCAATGAAACGTTTTTCAAATAAAGTGCATACTCCAAATCAAATTCAAAGTTCACCTGCGCATTGAGAATTTAAACTATGAATCAAATCCGAACTTGTTTCTTTTTTCTTTCTATAACGAAACCAAAGTTATGTCACCCGCACATAGAGGAACACAGATTTGGGATCTATATATCGCAAACAAAATCACCCTAGCTACAACCCGAAGATTGGTCAATTAACAATTGCATACAATCTCATTCTCCTGCAAATATCTAGGGAGTGGTTTTACCTGTTAATTGTTGGTCATGGGTCATGCTCCGAAACACTGAAAGATCTACTGACATTGGCATGTGGTCAGTCCTGCCCGAGTTATCAACAACTGTATGTTGTCTCATTTGTGCATTTTCATCAATCTTATCAAGTTGTTGGTGGACATTTACATCAAAGCTTTCACGTTCAGCCATCACTCTTCTCGTCTTCCTTGGAGATGATAAAACAGTTGGACCAGCATTGAGAGGTTGCCCCTTGGGAGCAGGTATGGGAAGCTTAGCTGGTTCCGTAGGTAAAGGGGCAGATGAGAAGTACCTAATACCAAAAACATATATATTAAATAATAGTATATCAAAAACCACACAATTTATTAGACTCCCATCTAGATAGAGTTTTTATTCCTCACCTGGTTCCAATGCCTGTTGGATTGTGATCCTAGCGTTTGGATCATAAGTGAACATCTTTAACAACAGATCCAGGGCATCCTCACTAGCCATTGGAAACAATTTACGCGAAGGTTGCAAGGGAACTGTTTGGTACTCTACATAATCAGTAAGGTATACCAAGTCATGTCATTGGGAAGGTGTTGGAGACCCAAATGCTTGGAAAATCTTTCCTAACTGAACAATGTCACTTGACCCCTGCCACACATCACACGGCATATATAGGATACATACAATCTTAACCTAAACAAACAAACCTTTTAAATTTTCCAAGATGCATTATGCACACTATCAAAATCAAAATCGAAAAGGAGACTATCATCCCTCTCCTCCCAGTTCCTCCCACAACTATGCTAAGGTGAAAGGATATCTAGGACTGATTGCCGACATTCAAACTATGATGTTAGAAAGGACACCTTGATCACAATCAAATTGAAAGAAAGCACGGGAAAGGAGAATCCATAAACAACACAAAAAACATAACAAATATCACAGAAGAGGGGCACAAAATTTTCAAATACAAACAAATACTCTATTCAACGATACATCAGCGAACAAAACATACATGATGAGTGAACTTGCGATCGGGGATCTCAGTGGTTTTGTTTCTTCAGTGCCTACGTCGTCATTGTTATTCTTGCCCGGCAGTTATACATCGTCTGCTACAGCAATCGACAGAGAAGATAGCAGCGAATCTCTGGAGGTATTCTGGAACCTGCTGGGGAGGTGGGCTGGCTACCGGAGACGAAAGTTGCCTTCATCGACAACCTCTCCGCTGCTGGGATCGTCCGTTGTACTCCCAATCGCGATCTCCCCACTCCCGTCGACTTGGTTATAATTAGGGATTTCGATTTGTTTGAAATTGGGAATAGGAAGGAGATTTTTGATGCGAGAAACTGATAGAATAGGAAGGAGATATCTGCAAAACAAAAAGGTAGAGGAAGAACGAAGGAGTTTCTGATGCGAGAAAGTGAAAGGAACAGGAAGGAGATAGAGGAAGAACGACAGTTGCAATTTTACTTCTTACTCCTAACGTGAACATGGGATGTTTACATTAATCCCGCCTAAATGCTCTGCCACGTCAGCCTCCTACATTCATTCTTTGGGCAGGAAAATTTGAATGGGGTTTGCATTTTTACTTTTCAGCTATAAATGATACTGTTGACGAATGCAGCGGTCGGGAAAGTTTTCCCCGAGATATTGATGGGCTAAGTATATTACTGGTTTCTTTTTTATTTAGTAGTGTAAATAATTTAGTTCAATTTTAGTCATCAAAATTTAGATCTAAGACCTCACCGTTGGTATAAAATTTTTCTAATACAAACCCTAACTTCTTCACATGTTTACCTGCACCATTCTCATGCCTCTTTTCATTTTTCCCTGCACAGTCGTTCTCCCTTCTCTTCATTTTTCTTCTTCTCTTTTGCAGCTATGGTGACAATGATAGTAGATTAAAGATCGAACCCTTGTAGATGCAATTCTCCTCTCTCTCTCTCTCTCTACACATTGATGTTCGTCTTCACTCCCGTTCTTTTCAATTTTACCTACGAAGATGAAATTGCTGCTCTTGCCACTCTCATCCTCTCACATCGTTTATGAAATGTTCATTATAAAGAAATGATAGAACCCATTCCATTCTATTTTCTCTGGCTTCTGCGCCTTCTTAGGAAGGAGTCCATGGTATTTTACTGTGTTTATATTTGTGGTCTGAATGTTATGGTCCAGGAAACTTTTTATTTTAATTATTGTTTTCTAATTCAGAACTTGGGTTTCAATTCTCTGCGTGGGTCTGTTGCTTTGATTTAGGATAAATCCAAATGTGAAAAAGGTTACATTGCAAGTATTGATAATATGTTAGCTTAAAAATTAGGGTTAATATATTTATATGGTTCGAACTTTTGACAAATTAAACATTTTGATTAATCTTTTTGATTTATTGTTACATCAACTATGCATCAAAGTTAAGAAATTGGCCAAACATGAGATTTAACTATTATCTTAGAAGGTTAAAACATTGACTAACGGTCAATGTGCCACGTCACTGCCGAGTCGGCACAAATTTTGATTTTTCCACGTATCACCATTTATCTTTTTCAAAATAAAAACTGGCGTTCCTCTTTTTCCATCTTTTGTTCAAAATAAAAATGATAAATGGTAATAGGTGGAAAAAATCAAATTTTTAAGTGGTTTATGTTGACTTTGTAGTGATGTGGCGAATTGACTGTTAGTCAACGCGTTTGACCGTCCAAGATAACGGTCAAATCTCGGGTTTGGCCAATTTCGTAACTTTGATGCATAGTTAAGACCACGATGTTATAGATCGAAAACATTGACTAAATATATTAACCCTAAAAATCATTGAAAGTATGTGAATATTTACAACTTAATCATCAACTCATGATATAGGTACGTGAATATATTAGGATAACAACAACACATGGTTAAAGATGGGTGGTTTCAAAGGGCGACATGCATCTAAGGTTGGGCATATTAATTTTTAGGGTAAATACAAATTATTAGTAAAAGCGTTCGAATTTTTTAAATTATTAGCCAAACTTTCAAAATACAAAGTGTTAGCTAAAGAAAATGAAAATAAAGCCAACAAAATGAGTGGTAATTTGTATAAAAAAAAAGAGTAAATAGAATTATATTTTTTTTGACAATTAAGTAAATAGAATTATAGAAGTGTCATTTGAACAAGCTTTTAGGAGTCGGCTCCTTGGTTTAGGATCTGTCTTTTATGCTAAGGATTTTAGTAAATGACCTAGCATGATTTGTGAAAATACTATGATGTTAATTATTTTGAATGTTTTCAATTACTAAATAATTTGGATTCTCTTATATTATAAAATAAAATTGTATATTACTTATATTTTACTATTCATTTTTATGTAATTTAAAAAAAATGAATCCGGCCAACTGGTCGAGCCTATCTTGCTGCGAATAATTGCTATTGGTATTTATAAATACATTCGGCCAACGGCCAGGGTTGAGATCTAGTTTAGATCTATGGGTTTTTTTTTTTTCTCCAACTCTTTTCTTTTTCTAGACTTGGGCTTGTGCTGGTGATTTTGCAAATGGGCAGCGACGAGAAGAAGATCGAGTTGGTGACTTGGTGGAGGTTACGGAAAGGCTAAAGTAGTGGCCATAGTGTGATTTTTAATTTATTATTATTATTATTATTATTATTATTATTATTATTGAGAGAATGTATGTAGTGTTTTATAGATCAATGTATATATTTTAATATGAAGTATATGAGTTAAACTATATGTATTCCACATATATGATTGACCATGTAGTGAAAGTGATGCTCTACAAAGAAAAGAAAAAACTGTGAGTTATGAACTTCATAGTTGATGAATAAAAGATAAATGATTTTATATGTTTTATTTGGTTTCATAAATTCTAAATATAATTACTTGTGAGAAATTATCAAAACAATAACTATTGGTTAAAGTGTATTACCGACGGCCCAGTTCTTTCATGAATATACCAAAATAATGTAAGAAATGTGATCTGGTCATTAGTTTCGTCAATGTGGAAAAATCTTTACTGACGATCCATTAACTTTAGGAACGGCCTCCTATCGCCACAAATAATCAGTTTTGACGGCTTGTCACGCAAAAACTATTTGTGACGCTCGTATTTGGTTTGGACCGCGACGGCTCCATGGCGTCGCAAAAGAACAATTGCAACGAAATTTGGCCTTTACTGACAGAATCCTCTAGTCACTAATTGCAGTCTTTTTTGTAGTGATGTGAGCAAAACCGAAATAATCTCATGATTATAAGAACCGAATCGGATCAACGATTGCATTAGTAGAACCACTGAACTAGTTATAATCGCGGTCGGTTTATTTGATTGGATTGTTAAAGATGAACCAAATGGTTTTTAAATATTTCACATGAAACCAGATGAACCACCTGATTTAGCTGGTCCGTTGATTCACTATTTTAACCACATAAAATTAAAACAATATCAAATTAAGACCATCTAATCTCAATCATTAATTTTATTTATGTTTCCCTTTTTTCATTTCCCAACCTCGTGGTCGGATTTATTTGGTTCACTATGGATTGTCACCCTATTACTGACTTATAGGTAATAGATGATATAGATTTGAAATTGTCTATGATTAGTGAAAAATTCACTCATAGATTAGTGTATTATATATATTTTTCTGTTATAGCGCATGAGCGGTTCAATCAACAAATAACTAACAGTTCTATAACGGTTAGTTGTTGAACATCAACCACTAACTTTTTCGATTCAACATCCACTTCAAACTATGAAAATATTGAATAATATACGGCTTGTGTTAGAATAAGTCTATCAGCATAAATTAAAAATATATATATAATAAAAAGAATTAGCAATACATAAAAAAGAAGTGGCTTGCACCAAAAAATCAACAAAAAGTGGTTGTGAGCAAACAAAAAGTGACCAACCACACATGTTAGCTAAACTCTCGTACAAAAGTAACCTTTTGTATGTTTAATTATATTCATGAATTATTATATGGGAGCGGATAAAATACAAAATCCTAGTCTGCAAAACTATATTGTATCACGGTATGGTATGATATCATTGTATCAAGGGTATGCTTATTATATAGAGCACGGGTATGCTTATTTATTTATTTATTTATATGGTTGTTTTGTATTGTGGTGAGTGTGGATGCATCGTGAACTCAAGTGAACTCTAAGGGTTCGTTTGCTTAAGTCATTTGTTACTAAATGATTTAATTGAGTCATTTGATCTCAAATGACTCGTTTGATAAATAAAAAACGCATGAGTCATTTCGTAAATGTGAAAGTCCCAAATGACTCTATCGAGTTTTTTTTCAAATGCCTCATATACATGAGTCATTTTCAAATGACTCCTTATTTAGTCCAAATGTTCTAACTATGTCCTTGTCTATTTTATGTAAACCCACAAATGTTCTAACTATGTCCTTGTCTATTTTATGTAAACCCACTTCGATCCTTCTCTTTCTATTATTTGTTTTCTATGTCATTGCTCCGTCTACTCTCAGAATTATTTTCTTTCTCCCAAATTTCATTAGCGACGAAGAGGGTAATTTACGTAACGACACATCATTTTTGTTCACAAACACTATCATTTGTAATTAGCTTAAAATACGAGACTTATGGAGGCGCTATCTTTTATAAAGAAATTTAACATATAATTATTATTTAAATTTAGAAACTAGTATTATACATGGTAAACACCCAAATAATATGTTTTGTTGGTTGCAAGATAATTTTGTTTATGTGGTTGGTTTTATTAGAATAGGAAAAAAATAACAGAACATATCAAATGTAAGGGGAAAATGGTAAAATTATAGAAATGACTCGTTTACAAATGACTCATCTAAAAACTTTTAAACAAACAATGCATTTGTAATACTTACACTCCCAAATATATACATTTCTCAAATGCTTACATTTAGACAATAGAATCATTCTGTATATAACTCATGCAAACAACCCTGTGTACACCAGGGGATTAGCTCTGGAATTTCTATAGTAGCATGCCAATACTTGTCGTACAACCATAACATAAATAAAAATTAAGAGTAGCTTGAAATTACTTTAATTGTTAGGTTTTGAAAATAATTAGAGATAGGAAATGTCATTTTACTATTACACAGTGTTCAAAATCGAACAACAAAAGTGTTGTAGTTTAATGGAAATCAAGTTTATTATTAATAATAATGTTCTAGGTTTGAATTACCCAACCAACCACTTATATTCCCATACACAAATTTAAAAAATGACAGTAGGATAATCATTTTTTCAAATTTCAGGAGTGTCCCTCACTATCAATTATAATTTTTTTGTCCATACGTAAATTACCACCAAAGGTTAGATAATCGTTTTCTCAAAATTTAGGGGGTGTCTCATGACACCCCTAAAGCCCATTGGGTTCGCCTAGGGCTGAAAATGAGCCGAGCGGAGCCGAGTTTTACCACAGCTTGAGCTTGACTCGTTAACAAATGAGTTGAGCTCGAGCTCGAGCCATTTATTAACGAGCCGAGTCGATTCGAGTTCGAGCTAGGCTTGTTTACTAAATTCTTAGATCGTATTTGATACATTCATTTTGTAAGTCGTGTATGGTACATGTGATTGATGTAACGACAAAAAAATAATCAAATATTCAACATTAATTAATCTTATTATATAATTTGTAGGTGTCATATTGTTTAGTTAATAAATTTCAACTAGTCCAATCATGTTATGTCATAGTATCGAAACAATTTTGTACATAATTTCTTTATAGAATTAAAAATAAGGCATATTTTCTTACATGTTCAACATGTTAAACTTCACATGATGTGAGATATATAATTTAACAATCCTATGAATCATGAAAGTCCAAATTAGATCGATTCGTCCATGTGATCAAGTTGACCCTCAAACCACAATGTTGATACATCTCATGAGCTCTAAATGAGCCAACTCACGAGTTGAGCTCAACAAGCCACCGAGTCGAGCTAGCTCGCAAGCTTCGCGAGCTAAACATAGCTAAGCTCAAGCTTGGCTCGTTAGTAAACGAGTAGAGTTTCGAACGAATTTTACCCGATTCAAGCCTCGAGTTGCTTGCGAGTAGCTCAGCTCATTTGCAGCCCTAGGTTCGCCCCTGATTGAGGCCATAATATTAATTTCTGAAACCACGGACTAAAATTGATTATATGATCATAATCAGGCCAAAATAAGGTATTAACCCTTTATTAAAACAAACATTTCTAATGTAATTTTTATTTATCTCGATATGAACAATAAAAAACAAGTTTTATCAAGAGTCAACAAAAAAAAAAAAACATGTAAAAAAGAGAGCATTCAGTTCTTCCTCGTGGCCGGAATTGGGTTTTGAGGTGTTAATTTGGTACCCTAATGTCTATTGTAAAAAAAAAAAAAAAAAAAAATTGGTACCCTAATGTCCATGGTTGGAGTGGATTTGGGTATTCAACTTCCACTTCTCCAAGTTTAACCCTGTGCTTGGATTTGGGTATCATAATTCGAATGGAACCCGAAACAGCCCGCTGGTTCCAAAATCTCAACAAGGCCAATTACTACAAAGAAAGATCTGAATTATGGATACCAGTAGGCAGTGGCGTAGCCACTTGGAGAGGAGGGGTGCTTTGCACCCCTGGGTTTGGAGAAATTTTTTTCGAGTAGGGGTATATACAAATTCGAACCAATGACCATTCAGTTGCAAGAAGAATTTCTTATCATTTCGATCGGAGTGAATTGCAAGTTTGGTCACTCATATTATCTATTTGTAACACTTTAGCCACCCTAATCATTTTCTCTTCAATTTGGTCATCAACACTACACATTTATGTCATTTTTGGTCACTTGCCGTCTATCTCCGTTAAATATGTCTTAGGTGGCAGTCAACTCTAACGTTTGACCGTTAAAATGCTGATGTGTCAATTAAAATATATATAAAAATTTTACTTTTTATTTCCATGTCATACTAGAATATAATAGATATTTATTTTATTAAAATTAAATTAATATAAATATATTAATAAAGAGAGGCCGGCGTCGTCCTCCCCTCTCCGTCCCGCACTTCGCCGCCAATCTCCTCTATTTCTTCCTCTCCCTGTTTTTCTTTCTATTCCGACGAGGCATTCCATCAACAGGGAAGTGGAAGCAATGATCTCCCGGCCCCGCTTCCTACGATTGCTGCTTCTCCGGCGACAACTGCACCCACGCCCTCAAATCCTAATGAACCTCACTCAGCTCCAGCTCAACATCCTCTCCGTCACTAAGACGGTGGCAAGGCATTCGGCCTCCTCGTCGACCTCGCCTCCGACCGATTCTCTACTCCAATCCTCCTCCTCATCGGCTCAATCAAAGGCTTGATCGGGTGCGGCGTCCAGTGGCTCAATCGAAAGCCTTCCTCTACCTCGCCTCAATTCCTCTGCCTCCCGCAACCAGTCTGCGAGATCTTGAAAGGATTCGTCGGATTGTCAACCGCAACCTTCACAGATCTCTGCTCCGCCTTCTTCTCCGAAGACCCGGCGAATTTCCTCCTCATGCTGGCTTTAGTCCCCTTCGTGGTCTGCCTCGCCGCCATCTTCTTCCTGCGCGAGATCCCGCCTGCCACTACTTTGGCGGAGGGGAAGGAAGAGGGAAAGTAATTCTCCGCTTTCAATATTGTCGCCGTGGTAGTCTCTTTCCTCCAGCTGGCCTACGATTTCACCCGCAATCCGATCCGTAGACTCTTCCTAGGGTTCGAACTTCGAAGTCACGCTCCTCGTCTCGCCGCTCGCCTTACCGGTCGAGAATTTGGTAAACGGATTGAGAATCGCCACCACTGAAGCCGACATTGAGTGGGTGCAGGGCGCTATTGACAAACCGCTTTTGCATGATTTGACGGCGGGGACAAGGCCGTTGAGGCTGATGCGGCGGCGGCGGTGGACACTGATGGAGGGGAAACAACGACGAAGCCGATGATCGGAGAGGGTCATACTATGTGTGGTGGAGTCGGTGGGCTCCCTTTATTAATATATATGAGCTTTTTATGAAAATAAATATTTATTTATTTTAATATGATGTGGAAATTAAAAAAATTTATTTTTATTATTTGTAAATGACACATAAGCTTTTTAACGGTCAAACGTTGGAGTTGACTGCCACCTAGGACAGATTTAACGGACTTGGACGGTGAGTGATAAAAATGATATAAACGTGTAATATCAGTGGCTAAATTGAAGGGAAAGTGATTCAAGTGGCTAACGTGTTACAAATAAATAATATGAGTGACCAAACTTGCAATTCACCCTTTCGATCGAGTGAGTTTTGTTATGTAATGCACTTTCGTCTTTATTTATAGTAATAAATTGTTGTCTTTTGTTTAAATTCGCTCATTTTTTTTTAGCTCTACAACAGAGAAATTTCTTGTCTTTTGTTTAAACAAAGTTGAAAATGAAGAAGTACCAATTGAAGTTCACTTGTTTGTTTCACAAAATCAATTCCAAGGTACTTCTGAGTTCTAATTTGTAATATTTGATGAATGGAAGTCTTGATTTGTATGTACTGAACTTATTTGTTTGACATTGTAACCGGTTACGTGAAACTATTTTAATGTAATTGTGTGAATTTAGAGTATTGCATTGTTGACTTTTTATTTAATTTAAAGTTGACTGTTCTATTATATAGGTGATTTTTATGATATAATAAAGACACCCCTGACCAATTTCCTGGCTCCGCCACTGCCAGTAGGGATTCTGATAGTTTACATATGATTCTATTCTTACAATCACATCTCTCTAAAATACATGGATGGTCAAAATTGATGTTTCTACAAACAAAAGCAAATAATGAAAAATAAGAATCAAATAATTCGTTATACTCTTCATCGGTATTTCAATGAACCATGACCTGTTTCACCCAAATGCTTATGCAACTTGTTCCTGCAACAGACAGGGGTATCAACTTCATCTCATGCGCATGAATTAAAGGAAAGAAGGGGCAAACAAACATAAATGAACAAGGCCATGCAATTTACCTCGACTCGAACTCCTCCCCGCATGCCTCACACGAGTTGCCAGCCTTTTTCGAACCTCCCTGATTTACAGAGCAAATTTCAGAGTCAGTCACCACCAACACATTCCATTTTTACCAACCTTTGGACAATCAGTCTATTCGGATCACAAAATGCAACATACAGTGGGAACAACGACATGTTAGTGTCACTATTGAGAGGTGTATTAAATGCATCGTAATATGATCATACAAGTAAAAGAACTACCGCTCATTCCTCTAGAAGAATTGCGCTCGCTTAGATGGGACTAATGCAGGATCCAGCCAAGTAGACCTTTAGTCATTGAAACCAAAATGAATTAAACGGACATTTAATCTAAACTTGTAGATGAAGGCAGTTACCTTTCCTTTCTTCCCTTTGGATGTGGTCTTTGAATTGGTTTCCTTCCTTGCAACGCCCTTCTTCTCGGCAGCAGATTGGCTAGTCGAACTCTTACGATTCTTCACCAAATGATCTTCCTTTATAATATCATTCGCATTGTCATCTGCAACGGAAGTAGTACAACAGGGCTCATTCATTTGGTCATCATCACCCACTGCTTTCTCCTCATTCATACTCTTACTCTCATCAACAACAGCATTCTGAGGTCCTACTGCACTATTGCTCTTGCCCTTTTCTTTCTTAGCTTTCCTTCTACCCTTCCGACTGTCATGCTCTGTAACATCAGTACGTCCCTCGTTAGCACCATTACCATAAGCTTCCTTCCACACATCTTCATATACACTTGAACTTCGAGTCTTCCTATTCCTGCGTCCCGACAGCATTGCTTCAAGGACATTTCTTTCACCATCATCATCATCATCATCATCATCACTACCCAAAACAGCACCCTCAGTATTCTGATTGGCTCCATCCACTCCATTAGAGTCTTCTGTATCAACAAACCCATCTTCAGCTTCCAAATTCTCAACAACATTATTGTCCTCACTAACCGTAAAACCCTTTTCAAAACTCTCCTCTACCTCATCCAAACCATAGTATGTCTCCTCATTAGTTTCTTCTCCAAACTCCACAAAGTCTTCTTCCTCGTCTGCCTTGGCTTTCTCCTCTTCTTCCTTAAACGACTCTCTCAACTCGGCCACCTTCTCCTTGTGCTTCTTGGACTGCTCATGATTCTTCCATTGTTTATCACTCTTAAACTTCTTCCCACAAGCCACACAATACAACTCTTGCTTCCCTTCATCTTCCTTCTTCTCGTCTTCAATATCTTCCAAATCATCAAGTTCCACGCTCACCTTAGCCCAATCTGGCTCCTCGTATGCCCTCATTCTCTCCATCTTCTCCCTCTCCAACTTCTTCTTCCTCTCCTTCTCCTCCTCCTTCTTCCTCTCCATCTCAGCATTCTTCTTAACCATCATATCAATCACCCTCTTATCCCTCTTCTTCACAAAATCAGCCAACCCTCTCACCGTCTCATTGAAATCCCTCTTGGCTTTCTTCCTCAGCTTCTTGTTCTCCTCCTCCATAAGCCGCCGCGAGCGCCGATCAGGGCCAGCCATTACATCATATTGGTCCGCCCAACAGAAATCCAAAACCGAGCTAAACCCTAACCAATAACTGTAAAAAGCAGTCACCTGCCTGTAAGGGCTCTCCAAATTCCCCATCAACGGCGCCTCCCTTAAAGTCTCGAACCCGATTCCTAATTTCTTACAAAAACTGACCTCGTTGGCATAAATTTTGTTGAAGACATCCGAATAAACCTTGTAAAAGCCTTTCCCTTTATCGGAGTAACCAGAGAATACCGTATTGGAGAAGAAGGAGAACAAATCAGGAACGCCAGAGTTGACGGAGTCCGGGTCGGAGAAGAGAATCTGAGAGCGGTGAGAATCGTACCAGGCGCGCTCCTTGGGGTCGGAGAGAACCTCGTAGGCGTGAACCAACTCCTGGAACTGAGCTGTGGCGTCACCTTCGCTTAGCCCAGATCGCATTAGCTTGTCCGGGTGGCGCTGGAGGGCGAGCTTCTTGTAAGAGGAACGGATATCGTCGGGGCTAGCATCCAGCGAGATGCCGAGGACCTCGTAATGGCATCGCTTCGACATCGCCGCCGCCTTCAGAATATTAAGAAGGCTTGTCGATGGGCTTTCTTCTTTCTCTGTGTCTTTGTATCGATCAAGATTTTCTCCTGCCTCGCGGCCGCCTTCCGGCTGAATGGCCGATTGGTTTTTATCTCCTTGTTCGTAGTTAGGGTTGAGGAAGGCGGTCTGTAGCCTATATACTCTAGCTACCGCGTCCCTACTTCCTTGTCGTTGTATTGTAAACGGTTAGGTGTTCGATTAATTTTACAATGCTATGTAACATTGGTGTTATAGATGTTTATTTTTTTACAATTTGAAATTGTATCTTTAATTTTATGGTACAACTTTAGATTGTATCTATATTTATTGTACAAATTCTTTTTTAGTACAACTTAAACTTGTATTTTATGTGATGGTACAATTTCAAGTTGTAAAATTGTATCATAACATAATGATACAAATTCTTTTATGGTACAACCTAAACTTATACATTTAATGTTATGGTACAGCTTCAAGTTGTACATTAAAGCACCAATGCTATATAGCATAGTAGAAATGCTCGTTGTGTTTCCAAAAATCGTGAAAACCAAAGTTTAGTTCGATGTTTTATTTTTGTTGTGCATCAGATTGATGCGACCTCGCTCAACATTATTCAAGTTTAAATAATTTCTTCACATGGACCATGGGGCAAAAGACGAATTAAAAGGTTTAAAGAGAATTTGGGAGCATTTAAGATGGGTGAAAATGGCTCTACTAGCCAGGCTTACGAGTTTGTTGATGTGAAAATGATTGGCAGAACATATAATTCTTGTGGTCCAAAGATGAAGGCCCGAATACAACGATATAAGGATCAAATGTGATCGTTCTTGATGGATATGAAATTACATCGAAGAAACCCATCACATTACTACAATTTGTGGAGGAGAATTAAGAGAAGATGGGCTTGGGAGGAGTGAAGAATTCGACCCAGAAGGAAGGAATCCCCCCATGGCGTGAACACAATGTGCAAAAGGAATACAATTGTGAAAGGAATTTCAAGTGTGAACACAATGAGGGCGGATTTGAAGGCTAGATTCTACTGTTGAATGAGTCAAAGTTGTTTCATTTTCCTTTTAAGGTTTTGTTTTCCTTTTAATTGTAGGATTTGGTCATTTGTTTGCTTTTTTCTTAGTTTAGGATTAGATTTTCGTTGCCTATATAAGGAGGAGGAATTACATGTATTTTTCATCAAGTTTTATTCAATCAATCCAACAGTTTTACTCGAGTTCCATAGGAACGTTTTGTGCAAGTTTCTGTCGAGA